ATGGTATGCCTTTATGGTGTAATTGGATTATATAGCCTTGTAAAATACTCTAAAATGGGACATGGACACAGCGTAAAAATTCAAAATTTGCGAAAAACTGGAATGGCTGTGTCTCAAATGTGCCCCTTCAATGTCCACATATACCTGGCAAAGGTACATACGGGGGGCGGGGCTGGGACCTGAAGCTGAGCGGACGCCATAACTGTGGGCTCCCACCTTGACAATTAAAATCTGCGAATATCGTGAAAAGCACCCGGCATCCAATCCTCAGCACACTGAAACTGTTCTCAGGACCAAACACCGAACCGGCAGATGCCTTTCCGGTACACACCGAAGTCCAGAAAAGCAAAACGCAGGCCCAAGGCCTACCATACACGAGCATCCACAGCCTCGAGCAGCTGTTCGGCGGCGCCTACACACAGGGTGACTCCGACCCAGACAACGACTTCTACCCATACCTACTTGAGGCACCTGAGCCCATGGGGAAACGTACACAGAAGGCCCACACTGGCTCCTCCACAGAACAAGACATTGGCACCTTGTTACAGTGGCAGGCGCAGCCCAAGACTACCGCCTCTGATCAGACGCCATCCCGCAATCACGATGCCGGTGAATAACGCAACACCGGGAGACACTACATTTGCCACCAAGCAAGATCTCCAAAACTGGGTGAAGGACATACAAAAAATGCTGGCTGCGGATGTGGGACACCTGAAAACTGACAAGCAAAATGTCACAGAGCGTGTCCGAACGACAGAAAACTACATCACGGATCTACAAAACGGCATGGCAAACATGCAACACACCATACAGCAATTATAAGCCTCACAGCAAAGATTAACACTGCAACTGTCTACCCACGAAGACCGGGCCAGACGAAACCACATAAAAATCCGGGGAATACCCGCAGATACCCAGGCCGACGAACTGCCGCATTACGTACGAAGACTCCTGACCACCATCCTGCCACCGGCAGTAAATCAGAAATTTGTGTTGGACAGCATATACCGACTCCCAACTACCTCCAAGACACCTAATGCACCCACCAGGGATGTCATACTGAGATGTGCCACCACCCATGATAAAACCCAAGTCCTGGCCGCAACCAGAGGTAAAACCCCTCTTACATTTGAAACGGCCCAGTTGTCAATCTACCAGGATCTAACCCGGGCCACGTTACAATGGCGCAGGACGATGTCACACCTCACACGTCAACTACGCACACTAGGGGTACCTTACCGCTGGGGACCACAAAGATCCCTGCTACTCCCCCACAGCGATGTCACCCACAAGATAACATCGGACACAGAGGCACCCGCACTTCTGGCGAAACTAGGACTACCAGACCTGCCTGCCAACTTACCCCAAGAGCCCCAACATAGGATAGGAGACCTGGCCACTAGCATACCGTTTACTCCACGGGAGATGGCGCCCACGTGTTTACAAACCTGATAAGAAGGAAGACTGCACAACCATAGAGACCAATGATACCAGGTCGAAGCCGCTAACATTCAGAGACAGTGCACTTGCACGCCTTTAAGCACCCTGTTTTAGCCATTGATCTGGACTTTGGAACTTACTGTTTGAATTACTTATCGTTTATATTTTATGCTTGAATTAATAGTTCTGACCAGTACTGCATGGGTAGAGCTACCATACCACCACGGCTTAAGGTACACAAACCAAGACGTCATGCCAACAACCCCCTCCCACAACCCCCCCCCCCCCCCCCCCCTTGGTAAGGGGTAAAACACCGACGGAAAGACCTCCCTGCCTATACTCAATCCACCACTCACCAAGATAGGTCACACAACCTACCTAGGGAGTAACATCCTGCACTACCTATATACCTGGCTACAGTCCTCAACCCTGTTCTTTCCCAAGCCTGTACCTAGATACAAAAGGACTAAACATGCTCATATGCAACATCCTGCAAATACCACACCGTGACTACCAATTATGTTGCCTTAAAATAAAAATTGTGCAGATCCTCAATATGTGAACAAACCAGTTCCACTAATCGAGCATGTTATCCACAGCTCATAACCAGCTAAAACCGTGCCTAGCAATGACTTCTGTATGAAAACATATCTTCACATAGTCTGAAATAAGTACCCAGTGGCTCCCACACTCAAAAGTTAATCGTTGTTTTGCATGTTATAAAACCATCTCTTATATGACAACGTTAATGTCTGCATACACTACTCTTAAACACGCTTAAAGCAAAGCCTTTCTCGGACACTACTTGTATATTACATAAGCAATGTTTATTAGTCTGTTATTTTCATGATCATTCAAAAATGTGCTGATCAAACTGCCACACTTAGAAATGTCTTGAAAACCGCTTGTAGACGCTGTTATGGCTCTGCACGCTTGTTGTCATCATATGCACAAGAAAAAAAAAAGAATTGAAAAAAAAAAAAAAGAATTGGGAAAAAAAAAAAAAAAGGTACATACGGGGGTATTGCTGTACTCAGCCGACATAGCTGAGCAACATATGAAGTAGTATACAGTCGTAGCACACATACAATTTGCAAAATATACTGTGCAAACTCACTTTGTGTGTCAAAAGGGAAAAAAAACGCTTATTACCACTACACTTTGTACAAGCTAGCGGAAAAATTATCCCACACTAACGTTCCAAATATGCCTTTTGAAATACCCTGGGATGTGTTCTTTAAAAATGGTATGCCTTTATGGTGTAGTTGTAATATGTGCTCCAAAGTGGGACACGGACGCATCAAAACCCTCCATGAAAATTCACACTTAAAAACCTTAACTTGTCATGTCTCTTTTACAGCAGTGTAACTTCACAAAATAGTGTCTAGGTCATACATTGGGCATATTGTTTTACTCAGAAGACTTAGCTGAGCATAATTTGGGGGGTTTGAATTTAGTGGCACATATGAAATGTACAAAACGCCCAGCAAAAATGTAATTCGTATGTAAAAAATGCCCCAAATTATTTTTTACCACATACTTTGGCATATATTGGTGAAAAAATGGGGGCATGTGCACAATATGCACCATATGAGATACCCTGGAGTGTCTACTTTTACAAATGGTAGGCCTTTGTGGTTTTTTTTTTGAACAATCAAACTGCTATAACACCCCAAATTGAAGCATAGGCCCATTAAATCCGCCTCTCACAATTCTACTGTAAATGTTGAAACGGACAGGTCTCCTATATGGCACTGTAGCTTCACGAAATAGTGCCAAAGACATACAATGGGGGTATCGTTGTACTCAGCAGAAGTAGCTGAACACAAAATAAAACTTTGTACATGAATAGCACACACTAACTTTACAAAATACACGAGAAGTTATTTGTTATAAGTTTGTGTGCCAAAAACCCCAAAAAACTAAATTTTACTCCAATATTTAGCAGAGATCGGCAGTGAAATGGCTACGTAGAAAGTGTCAAAACAACCTTAGCCTGTGATATATACTTTATATAAATATATACTTTTGTGTGGCAATTTTGTTTTCTTTTATGGCTATTAAGCTTACAAGACAAACATACCAAATTCTAAAATCGCTCCACATTAAAACTTTATTTTACTCCTTGTGCTTTGTGACCTGTAACTAAAAAAAAAAAAAAAAAAAATAATTAAAATCCCAGACACATTATATATTCTGTAAATCAGAACTAAATTAATTTATTTTTAATCTTTAACCTGCACTAATTAGGCACACATTATTATTGCAAAAACTGTACAAAAATCACAAAATTTCTTTTTTTTTAAATTTTTCTTTTATAAATATGTATATATATATATCTCATCAAATTAAAGCCCTTTCTGTCCTTTAAAAAATAGTATATATTATGTGTCGGTGCAATAAACGAGAGAGATGCAAATTGCAGTTGAACACATACAGCAAGAAAATGTAAATATTGCTTGTGTCATTAAGCATAAGACAAGCTTCTGAAGCTGTGTCCTTAAGGTGTTAACCTGTGCCATGTCAGAAGGTGTGATAAGTTCTTGCCCCAAAGATACTGAACTGAGCTGCTCTGGGCGAGAATAGAACCTGCCATTTCCTGTTCACTCGCGGACAGAAGAGGCGCGGGAATGTCTGTACTCGCGAGGCACCTTTACGTACACTCGTAGGTATGTCTGTACTCGCGAATGTACGTAAAGTGAGGGTATGTAAAGCGGGGTATGCCTGTATAGTACAAACGAGCAGGGTTTGTATACTCCAGGTACATAGAGGCAATTTGGCTAATTTCCAACACCTGGTTTAACGAATAAGTATGCATTTATTGTTATGTACTACTTTTACCAACACAGGGCATTTAAATTAAACTTATAAATATGTACCTACTTATCTGGAAAGCCCACTGTAAATAACCTTAACCTGCAAAAGCCACCACTTTAATTCCATGTCAATTGTGTTTATATCTGAGTAATGAGAGAGGATGAAAAATAAACCAACCACTGTAAAATAGAAAGAGAGATCATAAAATACAAATTTAGGCTTGCCCTTACAATGGTAAGTGAATAAAATGGCTCGGTTCGCTATAACTTCTGCTAATTGTACTATGCCATAGCTATTCAATGTCTCTGTAAATGAGTGACCCCCACAGCCTGTCATTGAACTGTTGTATAATCTCACTATTAGCAAGAACCGCAGCCATTTTATCTCTTTCCCAAAGCAAACAAGAATAAGAAGGCGGGAAGCACAGGGTTAGCCCATACACAGAAGCCATTCATCCTATTGGATAACCGGCCTGTCCATCATGGGTATACGCGCTTCTAATCCAAACAACTCAAGAATATTTCGACCAATGATCGTTAGCAATCACAAGCAACGCTCCTTCCTGATTGGGCCAGCTTCTCCCGCTGACGCGCAGTAAATACGCCCACACTTTCAGTGCCGTGTGCAAAAGAAAGCTGAGGGGCCATGGGAGGGAAACAGCCGTTAAGTGACGTGGGCGGGGAAACAGCAGGCACCTTGGGAAGAAGGCGGCGGCTGATTGGCCAGCACGCGGTTTCAAACCAGGAAGGCGCGCCATGATTGGCTGTAGCATGTCCTCTCGCTCGGGCCTGACGGGCAGGGGGGGTTATTGTGTGTGTGAGGCTAGGAGTGCGCGGTACCGGCGGCAGAGCGGAGCGTAGTTACTGGGCAACTTCTAACGGAATTCCTCACGGCGACGCTCGGACCTCCGGAACATGGTAAATAGCTCGCACGGAGTAGAGCACACCCTTAAAAATATCACTGTCCGAGCACAGCGACAGAGAGAGACCCCTGCTGATTCCTCGGCAAATGAAATGGCGGGAAACCTCAGACCGGCTGACAGGGGAGCGGAGCGGATAAGCACACACTGATAAAAGGCGTCACCGCACCCGGGGAGAGCTCTCACCGCACCGGGTGACGGCGGCGGCTCCGTCCGGAAAGCAAGTCCTGCCGCAGCGGGGGGGAGATTGAATAGCACTGACACTGCGGGGGGCATGACCTGTCTGCGGGCTGTCACCACGGGCACCCGGCCCCACAGTGTGCAGGATGGCAGGGGGGCTCACAGCCTGACCCCCGCACACACTGACAGGAGGGGGGCTCACAGTCTGACCCCGCACACACTGACAGGAGGGGGCTCACGGCCTGACCCCCGCACACACTGACAGGAGGGGGCTCACGGCCTGACCCCCGCACACACTGACAGGAGGGGGCTCACGGCCTGACCCCCGCACACATTGACAGGAGGGGGCTCACGGCCTGACCCCCGCACTCACTGACAGGAGGGGGCTCACAGCCTGACCCCCGCACACGCTGACAGGAGGGGGGCTCACAGCCTGACCCCAGCACACGCTGACAGGAGGGGGGCTCACAGCCTGACCCCCGCACACACTGACAGGAGGGGGGCTCACAGCCTGACCCCCGCACTCACTGACAGGAGGGGGCTCACGGCCTGACCCCCGCACTCACTGACAGGAGGGGGGCTCACGGCCTGACCCCCGCACTCACTGACAGGAGGGGGCTCACGGCCTGACCCCCGCACTCACTGACAGGAGGGGGGCTCACGGCCTGACCCCCGCACACGCTGACAGGAGGGGGGCTCACAGCCTGACCCCAGCACACGCTGACAGGAGGGGGGCTCACAGCCTGACCCCCGCACACACTGACAGGAGGGGGGCTCACAGCCTGACCCCCGCACTCACTGACAGGAGGGGGCTCACGGCCTGACCCCCGCACTCACTGACAGGAGGGGGGCTCACGGCCTGACCCCCGCACTCACTGACAGGAGGGGGCTCACGGCCTGACCCCCGCACTCACTGACAGGAGGGGGGCTCACGGCCTGACCCCCGCACACGCTGACAGGAGGGGGGCTCACAGCCTGACCCCCGCACTCACTGACAGGAGGGGGCTCACAGCCTGACCCCCGCACACGCTGACAGGAGGGGGGCTCACAGCCTGACCCCCGCACACGCTGACAGGAGGGGGGCTCACAGCCTGACCCCAGCACACGCTGACAGGAGGGGGGCTCACAGCCTGACCCCCGCACACACTGACAGGAGGGGGGCTCACAGCCTGACCCCCGCACTCGCTGACAGGAGGGGGCTCACAGCCTGACCCCCGCACTCGCTGACAGGAGGGGGCTCACAGCCTGACCCCCGCACACGCTGACAGGAGGGGGGCTCACAGCCTGACCCCCGCACACGCTGACAGGAGGGGGGCTCACAGCCTGACCCCCGCACTCGCTGACAGGAGGGGGCTCACAGCCTGACCCCCGCACTCGCTGACAGGAGGGGGCTCACAGCCTGACCCCCGCACTCACTGACAGGAGGGGGCTCACAGCCTGACCCCCGCACTCACTGACAGGAGGGGGCTCACAGCCTGACCCCCGCACACACTGACAGGAGGGGGCTCACAGCCTGACCCCCGCACTCACTGACAGGAGGGGGGCTCACGGCCTGACCCCGCACACACTGACAGGAGAGGGTCACAGCCTGACAGGAGGAGCTCACCACGATGTAACGAACTGAACCTCGGACTGGACCTATCACAAATCTCGGGCAACACTCTGCGCGGAGAGGCAGACCACAAGGTTCACAGAGCATTTTACGAAAGGGGGAAATGCTATCCCAATACTGCAAGCTGTCCGAGCATCCATTCTTCTCTGATATGTACTGTCAGCTGTGTTTCATACTCTGACCTTTATCGGGTAGAGAGAGACATGCTTCATTCTAAAACATGCTAAGCATAGTGCCAAGTTTTACTCATACTACCAAATTCTGTATAAAAACCCTGTCATCAGGATGTTTCAAACAGTTACAACAAACACTATAAAATCTGTCTATGATTCACAAACTTTAGCGTGTAATAATACCAGCAACACACATTAAATTGTAGTGGTTAGTTTTAAATCATTCAACCATTTGCATATTGCTGAATTAAAAACAAACTTGAATTTCATAACCTACATTTACTTTTGGTATGTTCGGAATGTACAATTCATGTGTTGCACACACAACTGATTATAATTTAGATCTCTGCCCCCAAAGGTTTACATTTGTTACTAGTATGTTATTCCCTGGCTGTTCTGTGTAACTGCCTTTAGGGTAAAAAAATAAATAAAAATTTCTTCTTCTTAATAGGCTGGTGGTAAGGCTGGCAAAGATAGCGGGAAGGCTAAGGCCAAAGCTGTATCTCGCTCCCAAAGAGCAGGCTTGCAGGTAAATATGCATGTTTTTATTGCTAGATTGCATACTAATCTTTGTAACTGAGCGAATAGTCTAAAAATGCACTGTATAAAACATTTGCGCTTTATTTTGTAGTTTCCAGTGGGCCGTATCCACAGACACTTGAAGACCCGTACTACAAGCCATGGACGTGTTGGTGCTACAGCAGCTGTATACAGCGCTGCAATTCTGGAATATCTCACTGCCGAAGTATGTGCTTACGGGCAATGCCAAAGTGCATTTAGTCACAGTTTGAATTCACATTAGCAAAAAAGTCTAGCAGTATCTAAAAAGATACATTTAACGGTTTTAATACCTTATAGGTTTTGGAGCTGGCAGGAAATGCCTCCAAAGATCTAAAAGTGAAGCGTATCACTCCTCGTCACTTGCAGCTAGCCATCCGTGGAGATGAAGAGTTGGACTCTCTCATCAAGGCAACCATTGCCGGAGGAGGTATATATCTTTGCCATGTATATTCTCAGTTGTATTTAATACATTGGATCTTGACTTAAGTTCACATAGTTTTAAGGCATGGGAGGGGCTGGAGCAACACACACGTTTTACTAAAAACACTTGGTCACACTTGATCCATGACTTAATATATTCTCTTTTCTAGGTGTCATTCCCCACATCCACAAATCGCTGATTGGAAAAAAGGGACAGCAGAAAACTGCATAAGGAATCAGTGTCCTGCTGCCCTATACTATTGTACTGTAACTGGGACAGAAGAAAAAAATGGGGATATGTGGAATTTGTTTTGTTTATTTTCATTTAATTTTTTTAAAGAACTAGTTAAATGGAAGAGCATAGACACCAGAGTGTAGATTTGAGAACATTTGTATGTTGTTTAGGTAAAGTTTCACAGAAAAGTTCTTTGAGTCATGTGACTGAAATCTGTGTGTTGATTGGCTAGGTTTCTCCCGTGTGTTTTATACAAAAATGGAACAGATAAACCATTTTTTACATACGTTTGACTCTGTGTGACATTCTCCAATAGCTTATTTCTCAAATGTGACCAAATGTTCTTTAAATTTTATTGGATAACGATACCTAAATTAAATTTTTCTTAATTAAAAAAAAAAAAAATCTAATATTTGCATAACAAATCTAATAAGCTTTGACACAAGTGCTCATAGAACGGAGCTTATTAAATTTTGTAGGGGCCCGTGCGATTTTGTAGCCATATCACTTAAGTGAATTTGGTGGGGGGAAATTGCACATATTGACAAATGCATTCAAGCATATTGAATGTAGAAATGCATATCCATACAGTTGAGTGTTTCATAAATAGACCCTTAAGACTCCATGGATAATAGTAATTCTCTTAATGTGTTAAGCATCACAGACTATTGGACCTCACAAAATATTTGAATGCACTTTGGTCTTTTACAAAAACAACTCTAAAGGCAGGCAGTATTTTGGGTCCTGTTTTTTTTTGCAAGACCCAAGAATACCTCCATTTATACTTAACAGCTGAAGCAATTTATTACATTAAGTTGACCATTGTGTTAGGAGGTTGAGTAATCAACCTCTTCACTGAGATGTAGACATGTGCACAAATCCTTTTCATCTGATACTAACATCATAGGTGGAAAGGATTTGTGCACATGACAGATGTATTGCACGCACATTATGACTAGTTATGTAGGGTCTGTGTTGTAAGTCACCATTGTGAACTATCACTGTATGCAAAAAAAACAAAAACATGGTCAAGCAAGGAACATCATTTGCTAAATTATTCAAGTCTGATTACACATACTTGCACCATTTATGTTGTACTCAATATACAGCTATGTGGAGGAGACATAGCTGTGCATTTCAAAATAACTTTGGGTTTTGGCTGTACTTAATCACGTGTCACAGTAAGACCTGTGTGGACTGACCAGTTACGGTTCTTAAATCCCTTATCACGTTAAATTCTTCATTAGCATTTAACGGGGTTGGGGGGAGGAGGGGTACAAAGCAAACACCTCCAAAACTCAATTGTGGGCAATGTCTGTTCCCCATAACACTGATGGATGTGGGTCCCCTGGCATTCCTTCCCTAGAATTGTAAAGGCCAAAACAGCTTTGCAAATGATGCAAGTTTTTTTAAAAAAGGAAGCACAACTCAAAACTAGAGAAGTGACTTAAATAAATGAAGCAAAACAAAATGTCTGTCTCAATGTGTTCAGTCAAATTGATTAATGGATGGTAGGCCTAGTAAATTATGCAAATTTACACCTATCAAAGTGTATTCAAAAGTGACAAACCAACTCTCCTACAGAACTTCTTCCAAGAATAAAAACAAATCATGTAATCCTTGCAAAATGGCACAATTCTAACATTTAAATGAACATTACTATCAAATTAAACAAGAGTGAGTTTAACCCCTTTAAACACCACTGACATAACAAAACCAGCTTTTAAGGATTCTATAAAGACGTACAGTGTATGTTGGCATGTATACACTTGGTGACCAATTACAAAAGCTGTACGACAACAAAATAATTAGGCATCAGGACGTCTCCAAAGGCAAGTTATCACTGGCACTCAGTAAGGAGGTCTTCCATTTTTAATGGTACACGACACAATTGTAGCTTATACTGCACTAATATAGCTTTAGCACTAAAGTTTTCCATTAATTGCTCAAGAGTGTTCTTACCAGCACAGGATTTTTGTGATGGCCAATCAAAGCAGTTTTAGGTCATGACTGAGCAAGTGCATATCAAGATAAGCTGTCCATGTGATGATGCTGGCATCAGTGAGGCTGTCCAGCAACAGTGACTGATAGGTGACAAACTAAGGCAATGTGATAATGGTATACTGTGGATAGGCAACATCTTGCATATATAAACTGACAGAAGGATATAACATTAAAGGGATTCTGTAAGCATCAAAACAACATTAGCATAACAAAGCAGTTTTAGTATATATATCTTGTCACTGCAATCTCACTGCTTAATTCTCTGCCATTTAGGAGTTAATGTATTCCTCTTAATGGAGCCCTAGCCACACCTACCCAGGCTATGACAAACAGAATGACCACCAATGGAAAAAAAACCCACCAAACCTTTCATGTTCAAATCAGACCTAAGAGCACAGTACGTTTACTTTTGAAGTTTATCTCTTTCTCTGGAAATTGAACTTTAGTCATACACACCAGGCTCTAACAGTACAAATAAAAGAGCAGGAGGTAAGCAAATCAAAATGAAACACATGCAATAAAGGAAGTTTAAACATTAGAGGTTTCGTTACAGGAGGCTGTATGAGTATCAGCCAGGGGAAGTGGGGTTAAGGATGCATAAATAAAGTTATTTCACTCCTAAATGACAGAATTCAGCAGTGAGAATGCAGGGATATAAAAACTTTGTAAGCATTAAGTTCTTTTAATGCTTTGAGTGCCCCTTTAACTAGCCTTGACTGCACGATTAATCACTTTGAGTGTCTCTCAAAAGTGATCACTCTTCATGGACACCAGTCTGCTAAACAGTACATTATGTCACTTTATGAAATAGTGTCTGGGAATCAGAGACAAAATTAGGGCATATAAGTTATCCATAAATCTGGCAAAGGTGTACAAGTGGGGTATTACTGTACTCGAATGGGGCTTCAATTTACAAACGTGTGGGGTATAGTACAACACACAAGGCTTGGGAAATTAATAATTAAATCTTAATATGTATGTGAAAAGGAAAGAACAGCTACATCCGTAAAAATTGCTGATTAAATGGATAAATGAAAAGACGTAGTTAATATAAAATGGCCCAAGTTGTCCTCTTTTTTTGCAAAGTAGGATATGATGGGGATAAAGTAAGGTTTGGGGGGGTCTATTTTGTGTAAAAATAAAGCATGGACCCAGTTGCAAACTGGAACTTTACTCAAGAACTCCTCAAAATCTGACAAAGGTCTACATGAATAGTTATTTTTAAGTAGCAGAATATAAATGTTAAGTCAAATATAGTAGTGGGACACACACAGAGATGGAAGAAGTTCACCATGATCATGAAAATAAATACAACCAGCAGATCAGACAGATGTATGTCAAAAAAGGCAAATCAAAATGTTGTCGGCTGCATAGATTTAGTTTTTGAAAATTAACCTATTATGTTCACTTATTCCTATATTTATTAAATCTGTCTTTCTAATGTGTGAAAAAATAAAATGAACGTGACCCTATAAGCAGCACCTGAGTGCACTGATACTGAAGCTTATAGCCCGTCCATGGAGGATGAGCATTGTATACATCTCTCATTCTGTTAAATGTAAACTTCTATTCTTGAGGCTGCAATGCGCTGCACATCTCTGCAAGAGCGACGTTCTGCAAGCCCACTTAGTGACCGTTGACATGAATGGTAGCAGCATGGTCAGAATATCAAAGGATTCCTGATATAGATTCAGTCTTCAAGAGCCACAGACTCAGTGCTGAAGCTACCTTTTTAGTATTTTGTTTTTGCTGTAAATTATGTTCTAGTTCACTACATCTTAAGTTGTTACCATGGACATTTCACCGCTCCGCTGGTCACCTCACTCATGTGAGCCAGTATCGAGGTACACGTTACTTTCCCCTGACATAGCTCACACTCATTAATTGCCTTGTTCTGGCATAATATATTTCGCCCCTCCCCTTTTGGAGCTCCGGGGTTATGGAGTTCTCCTATCTTGTAATCCCTCCTACATGCCTAGGATCCCACTTCTGCATGCTATGTCCTAAGCGGCTCTCTGCAAGTAGTAGACCTATGTTCAGCTGAGTTCACTTACCACCACAGACCAGGGCCTCACAGGACCCAGATTCCATTGGCTCCTGACAGATTCACTCTAACCACCCCAACACCTCAGGCGCTGTTCCCCGCATACAATATTATTTACCTTTATTCACTCTCTGTTCTCTATAATGATATATGTATAACTATGATCTTAGACAGGTTTTACTAGCATACTATAATATAAAAAAGTGCAGCCTCCTTAAATGCAACATCACAGTTAAATGCTGTTGTGGCTTTTCAAGCCATCTGTTACCACTTGCACACTATACATAAAGAATATTAAAAAAAAAAAAAAAGCCAAAGGTTAATCTGTAGGCAGCTTACCCGATTACAAAAGAAGTGGAAAAGAAGTAGGGGAGTCTTGGAACCGGATAAACTTCGTTTGGTGACATATTTAGTGCTAGGGGCGCCAATAGAAGATCGAGTTTTCGGAAATCCATTACTTCCCAGTGCCGGTTTCTATAACATGCCATATTTTGGCTTAAGGTTATAAATTCTGCTGTACAGTAATTTTTATGATTTCTGTCTCAGTTTCAAGCTCTGCCTTGCTTCTGGTCCTCTTAAATTTTCCGATTGACTTAAATGAATTGCTGAGGGCTAGGCCTGAGAGACACAAGCAGCTAATTATATTACAAGCAGAGGTGGGGATACCTACCTGGAAAGAGAACTGCAGAGGAATAGGCAGAGAAGAGGATACCTGCCTAGAAGGAGAGAGCTGCAGCCTAGTCAGGTGGAAGAGCTACAAAGAAAACCCAGTCAAGCTTGGCGACTTGGTCTGAAGTGTTCCAGAGTCCCCTGTGGAAGCAAGGAAGTGGACTTGGCGGAGGTAATCAGTTGGGAGTACAGGAGCTCTGTCACATAGGGGATGTGGGTGGGTCGGGACCCAAAGCAATTGGTGAGATGAGGAGGGGTTTATAATGTAGTCTTCCAGCTGGAGCCACAAAGGTGGCGATGGCACAGCAAGGGTAGTAACCAATTGAGCTGTGGCACTGTAATAGGCTTTGATATCCAGTATCCCCAGACATCCAATTTTTGAGTGTAATCAAATTGTGTTAAATGCCAGTTGGGGCAGATGCATGTCTTTTAAGGACCAAGCTTCATTTGTTTTTGTCAAGTGTGTTAAACCACAATTTCCATCTTTCTCATCTATTGCACCAACACATATATACTGTTTTTAAAGGACAAAAGGTTTTTGACTTAACATATAAAAAACGTTTTGTTTCCACCGCCACATGACGACATGACCCCATGACCACACACTACCTCAGAGAAGGGGGCAACACTGCTCACTACGACCAGCCCACTCAAGCCACATACCCCCACACGCTCCCCAAACGCAACCGCGGGCGCTGCCAAGCACCGGAGGGCAGCAATGCGGGAGACACGCCCCACAAGGAGCACAGTCACACACATACACAGGTCTCGCAGCCACCAGAGACATAGGTTAGACAACAACTGCCTCCCTCGACCACCAACACAGAACATAATAAACACAGCCACAAAAGGCATCGGGCACCATACCGACCGCCCGGGCATCCTAAAACAATGACTGAAACCACCACCTAAGCGCACAGCTCATGCCCCACACCTACACAAAGAGGCAAGGCACGGGCAACGCACCACTTACTGACACACAAGACGAACACCCACCAATACCCCCAAATGAAATGGGAAACTACACCCCAAGACTAGCCTCAGGCCTTAGCACTGACCCCACCATGTCTCTCCGGTAACAACTCCGCCTACCAGCTTATCTCTAGCACCACACCGCTAGAGGACAAACAACAAGACGAATGAAAAAAATAGTCCAAAGCCGCAACTTGAACGAAGTTAACTTGATTTGTAAAGCACATATCTGTTAAAAACCCTATATCCTAATGTAAATGCATGTCTTATCTGAAACGCCTCTGCGCAGGCAATCATAAGCTTTCCATGAAACAAGAATGACTACCTGCTTGTACTTGCAACACAACACAATAAAAATAAAACATTTAAAACAAATTGAAAAAAAAACCAAACTTTTTTGTTTTGTTTTTTTAAATGGGAGCACAAAACCTCCAATATTTTTTCACAGTTTTGTCAATAGTAATGTGAGCATAATTAACCCCTTAAGGACGGAGCCAAATGTACAGGTTGTGAATGAAACAAAATGTAAACAAAACCTGGCATTTCCGCTACATGTCTGTCCAACCGTAATTCACCTCTTTCATATTAAATGCACCCACCCTTATTATATATCATTTTATTCAGGGGAAACAGGGCTTTCATTTAATATCAAATATTTAGTTATGAAACATAATTTAATATGAAAAAAATGGGAGAAAAGATTTTTTATTTTTTTTAGTTCTACATGACATTTTAACTGTCAATGTCATAATACTGTTTCCTTTTACTGCAATAAAATACACATATTTGTATTCAGCAAAGTCTCACATGTAAAACAGTACCCCCTATGTACAGGTTTTATGGCGTTTTGGGAAGTTACAGGGTCAAATATAGCACGTTACATTTGAAATTGAAATTCGCCAGATTGGTTACATTGCCTTTGGGACTTTATAGTAGCCCAGGAATGAAATTTACACCCATAATGGCATACTATTTGCAATAGTAGACAACCCAAGGTATTGCAAATGGGGTATATGTCCAGTCTTTTTTAGTAGCCATTTGGTCACAAACACTGGCCAAAGTTAGCATTAGTATTTGTGTGTGAAAAATGCAAAAAAACGCCAATTTTGGCCAGTGTTTGTGACCAAGTGGCTACTAAAAAAGACTGGACATACCCCGTTTGCAATACCTTGGGTTGTCTACTATGGTATGCCAGCATAGGGGTAATTTTCATTCTTGGGCTACCATAGGGTCTCAAAGGCACCGTAACCAATCTGGCGAATTTTAATGTGAAAAAAATGAAACGCAAGCCTTATATTTGACACTGTAACTTTTGAAAACACCATAAAACCTGTACATGAGGGGTACTGTTGTACTCGGGAGACTTTGCTGAACACAAATATTTGTTTTTCAAAACAGTAGAAAGTATCACAGCAATATCATCGTCCGTGTAAGTGCTGTTTGTGCATGAAAAAGGCAAAAAACTTCACTTTTACTGGCGATATCATCGTTGTAATACACTTTACTGTTTTAAAAAACTAATATTTGTGTTCAGCGAAGTCTCCCGAGTAGAACAGTACCCCCCATGTAAAGGTGTCTTGGAAAGTTATAGGGTTTAATATAGTGCTAGCAAATTAAATTCCCTTTACTTTCGGCATGGGTTGTCAGGCAGGTCCCGCTAATTGTAATTAA